TGTGTCACACCAGCAGTCACACTCTTGTTCCCAACTTATAGCTCATATCCAAAAGTATACACAATGATTCTAAGTGGTATTCACAGTCCTGGTCTTATTAAAAGAAAAGACATACTTGGCAGTTAAGGAAGGATGCTGCATTCTCTGTGGGAGTATTTTCAGACACTAGAAAAAAGCTAGATGGAAGTACATACAGCCTGAGTTCCAAGTCTGGAACAGACTTCTGCAGCTAATAGTGCCCAATTTATTTGCATTCTCATGAAGTATGCTGAACTAAACTGTTCTAGCGTTTTACAGTTTAGTAACTTGTTCTTCTATTTCTGACTATACAGGGTCTCTAAAGGCTCCAAGGTTTTTATTTGTTATAATAAAAGTCCCTTCCCCAGCAACCTGTCATCTGGACTGTTTTCTGGACAAACAGCATAAAAGACTTGGCTATGCAACTGCACATTAATGTTCCAATTAAGTGTATTTAAAATCACACTTCTTCCAGAAAAAAAACTACTGTAATTTTCCTAGATTCCATTTCATTGTCTAATAGAGTTCTTTAGGATCTCTCAAGATGCTAGTACCATCATGGACCATCTAACTCAGATGGGAAAGATAATTATGTACTAAGATTTTTATTGGTCCACACATTTTAGTAAACCAAATCTGTTTTTATGGCAATAGACTATGTTATTCATTGTTACGCCCTTAGTGCTTACCACAAGGTTCACATGGCACACATTAGATTTCAATAACTATTTGTCAGATGGTTGGATGAAGGAGTGAAACCGGTGGTTTGCTGGTAAATGTTTAACAACTAGCTCTTCAGCAAAATAAAGAAGCTCTGATTTCTATCATTTGCTTATTACTTCCTTGATGTAAGTACTCTCACATGGCCTATTTCAAGTTAGCAATGTGACATATCAAAACATGGAGCTGGAAGAGAATGTTAACAGTTGCCCTTCATGAAGCAGTACAGACTGGCTCCAGTATACCACTGCATGGAACTGAGTTGGACAGTGTGTAAAGCTAAGTGCCCAAATTTTCTGATGTCCAGTTAAACGTACAAAGAAAAACTGTTCTCTGTGGGGAGTATTTTCAGACACTAGAAAAAAGCTAGATGGAAGTACATACAACCTGAGTTCCAAGTCTGGAACAGACTTCCTGCGTCTATACAGTGCCTAACTTATTTGTATTCTCAGGAAGTATGCTGAACTAAACTATTTTAGCTTTTTACAGTTTAGTAACTTATTCTTCTATTTCTGACTATACAGAGTCTCTAAAGGCTCCAAGATTTTTATTTCTGTTATATTATTGCCTACTCCCTTCCACATGAATTATAGGTGTTCCCCTAGTATAAGAAAAAAAACACACACCTTTGCCTACTTTTTAGAGGTGGGTTTTACTACTAATCAGAACATCTGGCATATCCTCTTTAATATTGTTAATCCCCATGCAACATCTAGACTGGATTAAATAATACAACTCCATAGAACAGGAGTACTGTGCTCTGATATTTTCTGCATCTCTCATTATTTCATTAAAACAGGGAGTTTTTACTTTCAAGATCATAGATCAACCTAAATACATATATGCAAATCTTATAAAATCATTAAGAGTGAGGATGGCTGGTAGCAGAAACAGAACTCATTGGCATGTAATCATTTCTTTGTATTTCACTAGCTTTATGAGTAAACATAAAGTTTTCACCTATACGAAATAAAGGATACAGTGGCTTGACATGTGATTTGCCTTTAGAATAGTGTCAAGAAAGGAATAAATAGGTTAGAAATCCCCTGAACAAAACTATTGTTCAGGAGCAAGGATGAACAAATTTTAGAATAGTTACTAACTCTTTTCAGCCAAGCAGGAAATACATTAACATACTATTTCAGAAATATTGACCCAAAGCTTTACTTTTAATCATATGATGCTTTTCACTGCTATTCAATTCGAGAGATGTTAAATTCCTTTCGATGGAACAAAGCCAGTAGGGAACATATATCACTGTCCTTTGAACTTCTTTGAACACAAGTCAAAACAGAGAAATAGAAATGTTAAGGTAAGGATAGATCCATCAAGCCCATGAGGTGTGCTAACTTTGCCACTTTCAGAAGCCTATTCACTGTTCATCTGCTTCCCTAAGCACCTTTTGAAAGAAAAGTAACTGTCTTCTATTTGTGATGCTAAGAAATTGGGTGGCAGCAATATCAAAGAACCCACAACACCAGCAAATGAAAAGCTAATCAAAGATATGAACTTAGGTTAGAAACAAAGCAGGCAACCCTTAGAACATTAGAGAGAACTATTAGGAAAAAGAGGACTTGATTCTGCCATAGATCACATAGTGTATAATAGTGAGATGTCTCCTGTGTGTTGCTGCCTTGAAAACTTGGTTCTTTCTAACTCATGTTACACAGAAAAGCTTGCCATGAGAAGAAGTATCCTAATACTCTACCATAAGGCCAACTCATGTGCATTAGCACATCTTGAAACAATTTAGATAAAGATAAGACTGTTAAGATGTATTATTCAAAAGCTAAACTCATGAATTGCAGAGAAGATAGAAATCATAAGGAATATTGGATGAATTAAACAAATTATAGGAATTCATTTTTCCTTTTGTGGTTATCATTCCATAAGAAGTGTCACCAAAAAAGAATCCACCCAGATTATCAATCCATTCCAGAAAAATAATGAACTGACCAAGTGACAGAATAGCTAAGTCATATACCCATTTATTAAACTCACTTTTTCCATAAATAAGTCAATTCAAACATCTTTTCAGCAATGTGATATATGAATTCTAAAGAGCTAATTATCAGTTACATGTGACCTAGTGACATTTTTTCTCAATATATATAAAAGGAAACTATAATTCACCTGAGTAAGGAAATGAATTTTGAAAACTGGAAGAGATAAAAAATAATTTTAAAGAGAAAATTATTCAGTGATTAGAAAAATAATCACTTTTTCTAGTGGTTAGAGAAAAGTAATTTTTAGTGATGAGAATTTAGAATGCTAACATTCACTATAATTCATTATTTGTTCATTTCATTCAAGTGTCACCTGTTCAGAGAACTCCTTGCCATTGTTTCCTTACCCTGTTTATTTTTCTTAGCACATTCCACTAACTAATGTTACATCAAACATTTATTTATTTAGTGCCTACCCCTCCCCACTGGAATACGAGCTGCCTGAGAGAAGAGGACGGAAGACTCATGTATGTTCCTGGCATTAACTCCAAGGGCTGGCATACACATATCTGCTGAATAAACTGAATTTTGTCACATATTAAGGTTTAATACATGGTTAACTTTAATACAGCATCAAAAAATAGCTCATTTATAAACCAAGAATATATTCCTAATGAGTGAACCAGAATGTGTTTATAATATATAGGCAGCACCCTCTATACCAAAAGAATTTCCAGGTGCTCAGCATCTTTACCATTCACTTTGTGGGATCATTCATGTGTGAACAAACATTTAGACACAGAACACAGGATGGTGGCATTGGCTATTCAACTCCATCTCAGTAATAAAATGAAAATTATCAAAACCAGTAACTCTTCCTTGATCAGACTATCAGCAACAAGTATCTGGGAAAAGAAACAGGTAACAATTTAAATTATAAATTAAGGCTTTAAAGGTGTCACAGTTAATTTTTCAATACCAATTAATCAACACAGACATAAACTAGAATTTGATGGATAATGTGTAGACTGTACCCATATCCTCCCAGGTTCTCCCTTTGCTCAACTTAAAAAATTATTGAATTAGATTCTATCTGCAGGTAAAAGATCAAACACAATAGAAAGATTACAAATAAAGGAAAGGTCATGGATATCCAGTACAATCACTGAAGAATTCCCAAACCTCAACTCTTTAGCCCAGTGGACTACAATATTATTCCATCCTTTTTTGATGTACATGCACTTATTTGAGGTCTTGTGCAGTAGAAAATCTATCCATCCACAACATACTGCAAATCAATGACAGGACCAGATCTGCGACTAAGGTCTCTGATTCATAGCTTTTTCTACCATATTTTGAAGGCACTGTTCTCCAAAAGAAATACAGAGAAGCCAGCTATTTTGATTTTTGTGCCCTCGATCAAACTTTGCTAACCCCAGTGTGAAATAACAAGAGTACTGGATAAGAAAGCAGGGACCTAGGATTTGATCCTGGTTCAATAATCGTAACTCATGCTGCTAAGTTACTTGATTTGTTATTTTAAGTGAACTTATTTTTAAAAATTTAAATAACTTTAGCCTTGCCTAGGCAGTATTTATGAAATTACATGTCCAGTATAATACTGATTTTGTAATTCACATTAAAATATGTAAATGGTAATGTATGCCCACTCACTATGAGTGGTACATAAACCACACTTTGGGAAGCATAAAAGATTACTTTTAAGGCCTTTCATAGCCCTAAAGTTCTAATATGTTCATTAAATCTCACAGTTGTGATATCATTAACAGCTAGGGTCTAAAATTATGATTTCATCAATTTAATAAACAAAGTAATGAGTACCCAATATCACTCACGTCAATAGTTTTTCCTCTTTAGTCAAAAAACTTGGCTATTTCTTTAATAGAAGGATACTTTTACTTTAGGGTTCTTCCCTTATATTATTCCTTCCAAAAATTAGTTGGATCACTGAATTAAAAATGGAGTTAACAAAAACAGAGAAATAGCACGAATCACTAAATAAGGGTAATATATATGTTTCTTTAATGAAGATCCAACAACTAAAATAAATTTGCTTCTGCTGATTCTGAACAAAAAGGTCAACCGTCTTTCCTGACACTTCCCCCCACACCCCTACTCTTCAACTTTCATTTTCCTTGACTTGCAATACCTCTTGGAAGAGGACACCGGAACTTCCCTATGAGAACATAGGGAACGTGAGTTGAGTCGAAGAAACACAACACAGGCTGAAGTGTCACCAGCTGGTGAATACCATTTTGGTAAAAATCATTTCACTTCTATCACTGTTTCTGATACCTGAACCAGCCAGATGCCATCTTTTGTGTCTTCTACAAGTTCATAGAAGTGCATTTCACCACTGAAATTGGTACTAGAAACTGATTCAGATGCTTCCTCTTCCTTGAGTGCAGAATAGAGCTCACCTTCCATCAAGTCACCTAAAAAAAGAAAAAAATAACAGTTAAAAAGTTTAAATCCCCCATCCCCAACTTCAAAGATGAATTCCATTTTACCCTGTTAGGTATCATGTTATTGTACTTCTGCTGTACTCTATAAAATAGAGCCTTAATACACTCATTTAAGACTCATATATTCAGTAAGTATGTAATATGAACCTACTATGTCAGGCAAAAATGGATAGAGCAGACAAAAATCCATCTTTTCATGGAGCTTATATTCTAGTGGAGTCATCACATAATTTAGTAGGAAATTACTGAATTTCCTGCTAAGTTCAAAAAGCCATCACAATATTTAGTTTTGTAACGTGTCTAGAGTTCAAATAATTTTTAAACAGTATGCTTTATATACTTCTGACTTACAAGATTTAGAAATGGGTTTACAGAATTTGCCATCACCACCTGCTTTAAAATAGCAACAAGGTTTATAAGACTTGGAGGTTAGGCACAACAGATTACCTATAAGAAGAAACTGTGTATTCATATACAGAATTAGAGTATAAATTTAGAGCTTGTATCATCAAATAAAAACTAAAGGAAAACACTAACATCAAATTATTTTTAATTTTTGCCTTAAATGTTAAATGATGAGAAAACAACACCATCATGATGACAGCAAAACCATTCACAACGAATATTTAAATTTTAACGTTAAATTGCTATACCAAGACTTCTGTGCTCTAAGTGTGTGATCTGAGTCATATTTCTGTGGGCTGTGTGTATTCTTTAAATGTTATGTACACTCAAAGTCACAAGCATTTTTAGGCCCAAAAGAAGGCAACACTAAAACAAAAGTCAAAAGAAAAAAGAATGTGTTATCAAATTATTTTACCATGAAAACTGATTTGACTTTAGCAATTAAAACACTCTGCATTTTTAAACCTACAAAATTTACTTTAATTTTAGAGATCTACTTTATTCCATTTCCCTCCACCCTATGGAAGAAATGAATCACCATAAGCCACCCAGTAAACAAGAGGCGAGAATAATACATAATCTTGTTTTTTTCTAAAGGAAACGTAATACTTTTACAAAGACGATTCTCTCCTCCAGAGGATATGAGCAGTAGATGTAAGTTTGATAGTCAGTAACCTGCAAATATGTGAGCACTAAACTCGAAGGGAGTTAATATTCTTTCTATCACACGACATGGCTACAGGGTACTAAATAAGGAAAATATTTGTCTTGTAAAAGACAGAGCTGACAGGTATACTTAAAACAACAAAAGATAGCCATCAGTTTCAACTGCTTCCTACAGCAACCCAGAATGCCCTTCTCAAATTACAGTACGTTCCCCTTCCAGGAAGTGTATCTGAACAAAGATTTACTTTGGCCATTTAAAAAAATGAACCATATTTCTCACCCAATCCTACCCCCAAATCAACAATTATTGAAAATGCATTCTTTAAGATGTTAAATATTTTCTTAGCACTGTTGCAATTTTATTTCTCAATCCATTTAAAACACATGCAGCAGTGTGACACAGAAGCAAGTTTACATCCAAGATACAATTTTTTTTAAATCCTGACAGATACAAACGCTTTCAAAACAAAACAAGGTAGTCACAAAAAACATTCACCTTATTCTCACCACATCTGAAGTATAAAAAGCTAATATTGTACAGTGTATACTTTATATGTAAACTCATCATTTAAAATTTAAATCTTAGGCGTAAATACAAATACCTCTTTGATATTAAGTATTCCAGTAATATTTTCCTCTGGGTAACTTGCTATTATTATTATCCTGTCAAATACTGCTATCTACAGACAATGTCTGGGGGATTTTCTTTTCTTGTATACTAATGAATTTCAACTGACAATACTTTACAGTTTGTAACTGGTTGACATGCCCTAATTTTGAGAAAATCACTTAACTTAGTAAACAATTTTAAGAAGCTGCACTTTATTTTAAAATAACCTTAAAAAGACATAGCAACAAATAAGTAAAATAAAATAAAATAAAAATAGACATAACACATCCTACAAATAAATTCCAGCCCCCTTTCTCAACACTAGGCTTCACATTTTTCTAGAAACCTTGGGTACCCCTCGGAGTAGTCTGCCTAATCCGTCCAGGTAACGCCTCATTCTGGGGGACCACCAAGTAGAAGGAAATACTGGTCGTCCCCTCCCCGCGTTGGGAGGTGATCCCAGGGGAGACCAATACTAACCCGACTTTTCCACCAGCTCCCGGACATCCTTCTTCTCGGGCAGCCCAGAATATCCCAGCCCCCGGCACTCCAGAATGGTCTTCAGCTTCTTGAAGCTCAGGGCCACCGGATCCACCAGCTGGGTGGCAAAGATGCCAGTTTCATACCACACAATGGCCTCAAAAAACCTGGCCAGGACGAAGAGGACCAGAAAATAGAGAAGCAAGAAAAAAAGCTTCAGCCACATCTTCCCCTGCGTCTTCTCTCTTTCCAGAGCTCAGAATACGAAAAAGAGGAGGGCAGGGGGAGCGTGTATTTACGCCAGCCTGGGCGAGGGCACTAGCTCGGCGTGTGGTCCGGCCCTGGCCGCCGTCACTGCCCAGCCCGGAGGAGGCAGGTGGATTGGGTATTCGTGCGGGGGTGCGGGGAAGACCAGGGGGGGCAGGGGCGGGGAGCCTCGTAGCCCCCCTGCGGGGCCTTCCACTCAAGGAGAGAAAAATAAAGGGAAAAACTAAAAAAAATCCATCAGTTAAAAACCCAAATAAGAGAGGTGCAAGGAGAGCCCGCCGGGAAGAACAAAACGAGGGACGTTTCCTCCGGCGGGGAGCACTGACCGAAGTGGCGGGGTCGGCCTTCCAGCACCGTAATCTCAACGTGGAGAAGGGAGGCCAAAAAAATAATTCAGGTTCACGGAGGAAGATGGGTCCGGGCCGCAGGGGCGGCGCTCCCGGGAAGCGATTGGGGATGGCCGGGCCGCGGCCGGGCTCCCGCGGCGGCCGGTCAGGAGGGCGCGGCGCTTGGCCCCGCCAGGCCCGGGGCCCAGAGCGGGAAGGAGCGGCCGACGCAGAGCCGTTCCCGGCGTCCAGGCCCCAGGCCCCGCCGGCCGCCCAGGCTTCGCGAGAAGCGCGGCGGGCACGGCGGTGGTAGCTCCAGGTTCGCTCGGGCCCGCGGGCGGCGCCTTTCAGGCGGGCAGGCACCGCGGCCCGGTGCGGGAAGGGGCGTCGCGGTCTGTGCAGAAGGAAATAGGGCGTGCTGGGCTACTGTCCGGAGGAAAAAAGCAAGAACAGGCCTGAGACCGCTTCCCAGGCGTTATCGCGTTGCCTCCTGGCCACAGCGCGGCCACCCCGCTAGGATGAACACCCCCGCCACCTCCCTAGGCTGTGTCCGTCGCCTCCGGAGCAGAAGACCAGCTGCGGCCGCTGCCAGAGCCGAGACATAACAACTGACGTCGGCGGCGGGGCGGGGCCTCTGGAGGGGCGGGGCGGGGCGACGAGGAGAGCGCCCGCCCGGAGGGCGGTGGGGAAGTGTGGGTGCTCCGGGGGCGCGGCCAAGCCGGGCCGGAGGAAAGCCGCATCCTTGACGCGGCTTGCCAACAGCTCCCAAAGTTTCCTCTCCAATGTCTCCTCCTCTGTCCTTTTTGCCCTGCAGATGTTTAGTAATTGATTTTGTCTGAGGATTGAACTTTTGATTGTGTCTCTTTGTGTATTTTTTGTATATTTACTTTGTATAAAAATAGGGCAGTTAATTAACCTCTTTAAATCGATAAAAATAGGAGAGTCTCTGTGCTAGGTCCTGGTGAATAGGTAAACTTAGATCACGTTTGGCTTGAGGTGATAGATGGTGAAACCCAGAAAACAATGATTTTCCATCTCTCGGAGAGTATGTAGTTGGTGCACATGTGTATTGGGGGAGTTTTGGTTGAAGGGAGTTAAAACTAGGCCCACTTGTCCCTGCCTGTGACAGTCTTTACTCCCCACTTCAGTCTAGGGGAGTTTAAAGCCCATCTACTGAAGCACTAAGTTCCCAGGACAAAGGTTGTTGAGTGTTGATATGTCCCAGTGCAAAGTTTACCGTGTGTTTCCTTACCTCCCTGAGTGTGGGCACAGCCAGAAAGAGGAACTTACATAAAATGAGTAATGTGGGTGAGCATGCAGTACCTGATTCTGCATTTATTTAATTCTAGTGGAGCTCTTTATGTCAATTTCTGCCAGTCTTGAAGGAGAAAGGGGTTGCAAACACAGACTAAACAGGGTTGGCTTCTACAAGCTCAGTTAATCAGGAAGGAAAAGACCCAGGAATTACAAGAAAAACGTTAGCCATTGTGCAGAGTTGTCAAATGTCCTGAACGAAGGATGAAAGTTTCAGGAAGAATGGGGATGTGATCCTCATTGGAGCAAATGAGGAATATGAAGCAAAGAATGGACCATGAGAACGTAGGCTCAGAATGGTGCGTCTTTAAAATAAAACAAAGAAAGGCATTTCAACTCCCAGCTAGTGGAGGAGGACTGAGGAGGGCTTGGCCCAGGAGAGAGGGAGGGGGTGTAGGAATGTACAACCAGCTGTCGGCTTTTGCTCCTATGTCTTAACTACCTTCAATGTAGCTTTGTTTCCACAGCTGGCAGATTAATGTGGGAGACTGTATTAAACAGTTAATTCTAACAAACATCGGTCTGAGATTTCAGGATCCTTGGGCATGTGATGGTGACCCTGTTAATGGGTGGAACTGCTGTCCAAACCTTGACATACAACGTGAAACCCTTTACGTCAAAGGAATGTGCTCACTGATGAGGAAAGGCGGAGCCAAACTTAAATAATATAAAAGAGGGGTGGGTGGGGAAAGTTGGGGTGTGAGCTGAGAATGGAACCAGCCAGCCCAGAGTTTCAAATTAGAAAAATATTAAGAGTGTGGGAGGGACTCGAAAGAAGGGATTAAAGAACTCCTGACATTTCTTATTTGTTTCAACTGCCGCCCATTCCAACCCCCTTGCCGGTTCCCTCCTGATTTAACTCTTAGGAAACATAGCAGCACCAATTAAAGAACACACAGGGTAGGCGGGATATAGGGTTTAGACATCCTCTGTTGGGATGTACAACTTTTCAAGATTGCAGTTTACAATGTGAGTTAGAAAGACCCTGAAATACGTGCTCTTTGGCACTGTAATCTCATTTCAGGGGCATTATCCTGAGCAAATCATTGACACGTGCACAGAGATGGGTGTGCAGAGTTTTGTTGTTGCTGTTGAGTTAATAATACAGAAAAAGAAAGAGGGAAAGAGGAAAAGGGAAAAGGAGAGACGAAGAAAGGAAGGGAGGAAGGGAGAGAAGAAAGAAAGAAAACCACCCAAATATCTAACAACAGAGGATTGGTCAAGAACGATAGTCCAAACGATGAACTGTTAAACAGCTACTAAAAAGAAAGATCTAGACAAATGGTTATGGACTTGAAACCACATTCAAAATACCATGTTTGGAGGAAAAGCAGGTATTGAGAAGTTTGCATCATATGATCCTATTTTTGTATTTGTATTAGAAAAAGGCAGTGATACATACACTAATATGATAACTGTATTCATCTTTAGGTGACAGGATTCAGATTATTTAAATTTTTTTCTTTTGTGCTTTATCTCTATTACTTTTCTGAAATAATCACTTATTATTTTTGTAATTTTAAAATGTGTTTACAAAATAAAACACCACTAGGACTGCTTCCCTGGTCTGGAGGTTTGGCATCAGGGACTCAGCTCCTGGGACCCCACAGGAGCTGTGGACTGTCCTCCCACGAGGGAGAAAGGGTGATGGCAGTTTCCATCACGCTGAGGTAGGCACACTAATTAGAATCTCTGTTCAAAGAGCAGGCTGACAAAAGGATGTCTGAATTATTCACTGTTTTTCATAATCTGTTTTTCTAACAGATGGGCTATTATCTGCGTTCTTGATTTTACATCTCAGATGCTGTTTGTGGGATGGCTTCAGTGCCTTATCATTTGATACTGTGGCAAAAGCACGGGAACCACCATTAGAGGGCCTGGTTCAGTGTTGACTAGTATCCACTAGCTGTGTCACCTTGTTAGGAAGTCACAAGACATTGCTGAACCTCATTTTTATCATGTATAAAATGGGATAGGATGCTTACCCCATGAAGTGGTTGGTTGTAAGGATTAAATGTAAAAAGTGCTTTGAAACAGACATATATTGCTTGTATTTCATTTCAAACAAAGAATTAACTTTAAAGAAAGAGAAAATCAAAGTCTTTGGCTGAACTGGATGAAACAGGGTTATTTAGTTGAGGGTCCAAACAGTCCTCTCTCTTAATTTGATTTTTATCAAAGGATTAGGCATACATAGTTTTAAAAAATTAAATAACCCTTCAAGGCTCCATCCAAATTGGGACCATTTTGAGCGAAAGGGCAATGGTAATAGTTATGCCAGACCAACAAGGATAAACTGGGACGTCCCAGACAAACCCTACTTTAAAAAACAAATACTCTGCTTATCCCTACCCACTCAGAGAAAACTACCTTCAGTTCTTTAATGCATTTTTCTCATGTTTATTTCTGTATTTCCAAATTATGGGTTTCTACTTCTTTTCTTGATTTTCCTATTTTATACATTATTGATTTCTCACTATGGAAGATGAGGAATGATCTCTTTTATACCCTCTATTCACCTACCATTGCCCTCCCCTCATTTCCACTGTGATTATATTATATATTCATTTCTATATTAATAAGATCATATAAATCTTATTCAAGGCTGAACTATGTCATTTATATTTTCTCTCTTGTGCGATTGTTCATTTCCCTGGAGTTAATAATTAACTCAAATTTTGGTTTGTTCTATTATCTATGGTCCTGTCCACTTTAGTCATCCCCAAACTTTCTGTTTGAACTATAAAACCACTCAAATGACTAATCCATTATTGGAAATAAACCTTCTGTCCTTGGACCTCCTGCTTCAGGCTAGACTGGTTACTTTCCAACCAGATATGCAGCTGGTCAGTCCAGCACTTCCCTTCACTTCTGTGCTGTGTTGGGTTCTGTTTTCTTGATCCCAGTGGTTGCACTTTGTTCATTCACTTCCTTGTTTGCATGGAACACATTCATCCTATAATGACTAAGTAAAAATGTGGACATGGAGATAAACTTTGGAGACCTTCCATGTCTAAAAATTCCTTTATCTACCCGCATTCCTTTTTTTTTAAACTTAGAGAAGACTTGCAAGAATACTACCAAAACCTCCTTTATACCCTTAACCAATTCACCCATTATTAACATTTTTGCCCTATTTGCCTTATCATGTCTTTTCTCTATTTTGTATATGCACATTTTTTTTCTTGAGCCATTTAAGAGTTAGGTGTAGTCACCCTTCATGTTTGAATGATAGTTTGACCAACTATAGAATTCTGAATTGGGAATCATTTCCCCTCAGAATTTTGAAGACATTGATCCATTATCTTCTGGCTTTGTTGTGACTTGTTCTCTCTCTGAGCTCTCACCTCTTTTCATCTTTTGCATTCTGAACTTTTGTGATGATGTGCCTGAGTGCAAGTCTCTTTTCCTTCACTGTGATGAGTGCCCAGTGGGTGCTTCCAGAATGGCAACTCATGAGCTTCAGTTCTGGGACATTCTTTGATAATTTCCTCTGTCCATTTTCTCACTTTTGTGGAACTCCTATTGCTGAAATATCTTGAAACTCCTAAGCTGATCCTGTAATTTTATTCTCTTCTTTCTCAAGTTTTCCTCTCTTTGCCTTTTGTTCTACTTTCTAGGAGATTTCTTCACCTTCATCTTTCACCTCTTCTACTGAATTCTTAATTTTGTTGATTTTATTTTTTTATTTTCGAAAGCCCTTTCTTGTCACAGGGATGTGCCTTTTCTATAACATCCTGTTCTCTATTTTTTCTTTTTATTTATTTTTTAAATTATTTTTATTAAAATGTAGTTAATAGACAATACTGGTTTCAGATGAACTACTTAGGGATTCATCAATTATAAACTACTAAATCCTCACCATGATAAATGTAGTTACCATCTGTCACCATACAAAGATATTACAATATTATGAGCTATGGTCCCTATGCTATACTTCCATCCCTGTGACTAAATTATTTTATAATTTCAAGTTTGTAACTCTTTATCCCCTTCACTTATTTTATCCATTCTCCTAACCCTCATGGTAACCAGCCATCCATTCTCTGTGTTTGAATCTGTTTATGTTACCTATACCAAATACAATGGGGACTCTTTCCCCATTGTATGTTTTTGCCTCCTTTGTCATATATTAATAGACCATTTAGGTGTGCGTTTACTTTTGGGCTTTCTACTCTGTTCCATGGGTCTCTGTATCTGTTCCTGTGCCAGTACCATACTACTGGTCAGTCCAGCACTTCCCTTCACTTCTGTGCTGTGTTGGGTTCT